ACCCGCCAAGCGTTCCGTCTCACTCGTCTCATCTCGTTTATTCCGTGGTACGCGAGAGTTCATCTGACGGATGTTGCTAATTCGTTTACACACCCAACGAGAATCGAAACCCTTTTGCGGAAACAAGGATTGTCATTTTACTCGGCCTATTAAGAGGTAATTTATAACACAAATTCCGACGAATTACATTTTTTTCCCGGTGGAACCGAGTTTTAATTGAGTTGTGAATAATGGCATGACGTTAAATTTGTAAGTTTAGTCCACGCAGGGAAATACTGGGCGAAATGGTCTGCAAATAAAAAAGCATCTGCCCCCAAGAGGCACGTTGTCATTTTAACAAACAGCACGGTCTCGCGAGATAAGATAATTGAATCTGCTGCCATGGTGCAAAAATTCTCCAATAAAAAATGATTTATTTTCGAATAAAAAGTAAGAGATCATCTCAATGACATTATCTCACAATTGAGTTAAATCGATATTCGAGCGTTTAAATTAAAATAAAATTGGTAAAACCGCTCGCAGTTGTCAACAATCTGCATATATTAGGAAGCCGTTAAAGAACGCAAATGATTTTTGAACTAAAGCTATAAAAAGCAAAGCAAAAATTTGCATTGCTGATATTCGAGTTTTGTAATGTAAAAGAAGGTAATTTCCGTTGGTGAAATCTGAATAGCAGGTTTAAACTAGGAAAACATTTAAAATATTTTGTGGACTTGCGAGATATTTTCGTGACTTGTTCCATTAGTACTCTGAAAATCAAACAATACGCTAAGCAATAGTTTAAGTAAGAAAACAATACGCTAAGTAATAGTTGCCCGTTGATGTAATTCTGGAAAACAATCAAATGAAGTTGAATAAAGAAAACAAGGTTATTTTGAAAGAAAATAGAGAAACAAATTAATTAGAGGTGCCAAAACAACACGAACCTTCCCCCTCATATTTTCACTCAGAATTACGCGAAAAGTATACTCAAATTTTCAAGAATTATAAATGACCTTATTTCAAAATCAATCATTAAGGGACAGTTTTCATTAAGGGAAAAAATCACATGATAGAGAATTTTTTTCTAAATTTAGCGACTGGATATATCCACATTTTCGGTTACCATGGTCCTGAAATAATAGTTTTTCTGCGCAAAATTCGTCGTTTCTTAGCGCAGGATTACATAAATTTCTGTCTACTCCGTACCGAGAAAGTAAAAACCAAGACGTAGAAGTTAACTGCAGAACACTGGACTACTCAACCATTGCTTATCGTTAATCGTCCCGTAATTCCATAGATGTTTACCGTGACCCAAGGTAATGAGACGAACTTTAGAAACGAGCTACTCCCGAACGCCTAAGTATTTTATGGACAAAGCAAATGTTTAGGGCCTAGCTTTACAGCTGAATCTGCCATCGCGTCAAAATACGAAGGAAAATAAAAACGGAACACAAAAGACGTTTTTAAAATCGTGTGTTTTATTTAAGGAAACTGTACACTTTATTTGCAATGCAAACTACACTATAAATGCAATGAAGAAAAAATACGGGAAAAATATAAGTAACTAGAGCCAAAAATAAGGATAAAATAAGGGAAGGCAGAATTTAAATAATACAAATGTCATACGTACATTACTGATAGCTTATGAAGATTATATTATTTACAAGCGATAACAATAATGTATATTTAATATTAATTCGAAAATTAACAGTTAACGGAGTGGATTACAATACGAGATAAATGCGTGGGATGTTGATTGCTTGAAGCACCTTGCCACGGGGAATGGCGACGGGAAGCTGAACTACAGTGGGAGACGCGGACCGTTGCATTTCAGTTTTCGTCCCAGAAGAATAGATTCCTGTAGGAAATGTTTTACAATTTCTCGATTTCATTACAGTCCGCAAACATATCACCGTAAAATTGTGCATACTTCCAAGACTCGAAACGGTATTGTAGGCACGGGAGTACGTGTCATTTGTAAACAGCGAGTGTACTGCAATTCTGACTGCCGGCTGGCGGGTGAAGGTTCTGACAGCAGGGCAGAATCTCAAGACCGTGTGCGATACAGAGCACTAGTAATTCGCAAACCTTATTTCATCAATTCACAATTTATCGCCTTCTTTTGTGTCCGCATAAAGTATATTTTTCTTCGGCGAAACTTAAAAATATCCTCAGAGTTTCGTTTCACAATAAATACAACTTCTGAGCTTTCTAGAAGAAACCAAATCTGAAGAAGCTGCCGATCCGGTGGCCGAGATTGTTAAGGCAGTAGTGCCATAGCGATCTCGAACCGAAGGATCGCGAGTTCGAGTTTCGCCTCGGGCATGGTTGTATTGTGTTCGTCCTTTCAACCCCTATCATCATTATATCGTGTCATCCTCACAGTTACCATACCGTTACAAGCAACATTAGCTAATGACTTAAGAATTGAAGCGACTTTGAATAAACAAAATTTAAAAAACTGAAGAAGCTGCTGCATAGTAGCGTAGTAACGGAGTGCTCCTCAGCAAAATGACATCAGACACTTTTGATCGAAAATTGAGGAGATGGTGAATTTTCTTCGATATGAAACGACTCATTTCGTGTCTTACATCAATAATTTCCCATGCGCCCAGAAATTGAAGAAAAAAAAACGACCAAAGGAAACTGGACGAAAGCCTGATCGAGACGGGGGTCATTGACTCTGAAGCTGAAGTACAATACTTATTACAGATTCTTTAGAAACGGTAACGGTCCAAACGGTATATAATACATGAAATGTCATTGTTAAAATTAATATTACTTTTCTTTTGGATGCTCGGTTACCGTACCGTTAACTGCAATAGTGGTCGCTAATGACCTAGATGTTGATGCGATTTTAAAAAACGAAAAAGAAAAGAATAAAAATGAAAAGTACTGTGACGTCATGGATACTCACAGCGACCACAGACACAGAGCTTCGTATAACAAATATATTTATTTAACAAGAACACCAAAACAAATATATACACTTATATAATCTACTTACATAACCCTAGCTCTGGGATAGACCTATCCTATCCCTGATCTGCGGGGGAGCGATCAAAACCCGGTTTGGAAGAATTGTTTTGATTGTGGATTGCCACTCCTACTTTTGGGAAGCGCGCACAATAGTCCTAGCTTCCGTGAGCCGATGTTACGCTTGGGAACATTTATATGTTCCGTTCTGGCGACCAAACGGCTGGTTTGCCTTCGATTCGCAGGAGCGATCTTATCTCGATTGATGTAATTCGGCGTGAAATCGTGGCATCTCAATTCCTACTTCTTTCACTCTCTGGAAGTACTGCACTACAGCATTCTGCTCTCCTGTCGTGATCCGCAGTCACTCCAAGGAATTCATTATATAGTCCGGCAGTGCGTTCGTCACTCGTTACTTTCCATGCTCTCGTTCTATACCTGAGCTTTCGCATATGCACTGTCGGGCGCCATAGTTTGTTGCATCTATCGTTCACGAGGTCTCTCGTCATCTGTCCTCAGTAATCTCACCCATCCTTCTTGTATATACTCTTATGTTTATTAGTTTTTATGGCGTAGTGCTCCCCCGTGTACCCTTCTACGCTTCCGCCACCCCCTCGCTTGTTGTATACACTGTGATTAAAGTCTCTTATAATAGCCGGGTGTTAATATTCCATATAGCCTTGTTGTCTCTCCGTTTCGCGGCTCATTCACCCGTTTACGGATATAAACTTCTTTTACTTCTGGTGTCTGTGGTCTATGTTATTCTCTCTCCCTATATGCGTAGCGCTTTCCAAACATTAGTATGTCTTCTTGAGTGCACGCTGGTAATTACTTTACATTGTATCTGTTCATTTCGCTTGGTATTTGGCGCCCGTCCGGCGGCGGCGGCCAGTCTGCCTGGGGGCAGTTGTGTCTGTGTGCTTGGCGCCGTCTGGAACTTAGAGGACGGCGCACTGCGACTGTCGTGTTGCGGGCGCTGGGGGGCGGCTGCTGGTGTCCTCACCTCCCCTTTCCGCTCCGCCACCTTCCAACCTCCATCCGCCTTTCCGCTGAGGGGCCAGGCGGCGGTGGGCGGCGGGGGCGGCGCCGCCATGGCTCGAGGCGCCTAGCGCCGACGGCGACGCCCAACGCCCGACACCGCCTCCGCCCCCCGCACCGCCGCCGCCGCCACCCGCGTGATGTCCCTGCTGCTCCTGCTGGTGCTAGCGCCGCTCGTCTTTTGTCGCATGGGGCGCCCGCCGCCTGCAAAGAACAACAAGCACACGCTTAGCTCACCGCTTAGCCGAGGCCCTCTGTTGGACACGGCTTCGACATGCCTGCAAAGAACAACAAGCACATGCTTAGCTCACCGCTTACCCGATGCCCTCTGTTGGACTCGGCTTCGACATGCCTGCAAAGAACAACAAGCACACGCTTAACTCACCGCTTAGCCAAGGCCCACTGTTGGACTCGGCTTCGACATGCCTGCAAAGAACAACTAGCACGCGCTTAGTTCACCGCTTAGCCGAGGCCCTCCGTTGGACTCGGCTTCGACATGCCTGCAAAGAACAACAAGCAAGCGCGTAGTTCACCGCTTACCCGAGGCCCTCCGTTGGACTCGGCTTCGACATGCCTGCGAAGAACAACAAGCAAGCGCTTAGTTCACCGCTTAGCCGAGGCCCTCTGTTGGACGCGGCTTCGACATGCCTGCAAAGAACAACAAGCAAGCGCTTAGTTCACCGCTTAGCCGAGGCCCTCCGTTGGACTCGGCTTCGACATGCCTGCAAAGAACAAGCACGCGCTTAGTTCACCGCTTAGCCGAGGCCCTCCGTTGGACTCGGCTTCCACATGCCTGCATAGAACAATAAGCACACGCTTAGCTCACAATGTGTCACGTGAGTAACTTTAGGGATTTATCGTAGGTAATACAAGTGCTTCAGAAGTTGTCGATAAATCCCCGACTCGCGAAGCGAGGGAATTTATCTGAGATTTTCTAAAGCGCGAGTGGTATTTAATACACCTCATCCACAAATTAATTTATATCAACGTTCTAAAATGCGCCAAATATGGAAAATAACTGACAGGTAGGTTAAAATAAAAGAGGTTATGTTATAGTGCATGCCTGTTTTATTGGACATACACATAGCGATCGATGTATACCGCCTACTAAGATAGATGGATCACAGTTTATGTTTGACCAGTTGGGAGGAACGGATACAATCGGATCGGCGGATTAAATCGGATACAAAAAAAACAATATTTTTTGGGGGTACACCGCCCAGATTGGGGCATTTATATGTATAGTTGAACACTATTGTTTTTAATTTCACGAGTGGAATGATCATGCAGGCAAACTGTTCTGTGTGATGAAAGAGAAAAAAATGTGGTCCTGGCAACAGTAGAGAAATAGTCGTCCTGGCAAACGTCACTAATAAATATTATAACGCTGAATGTCTCGTGCAGAAAACAATATTGGCCCCTTGAGACTCTGCTTGGAGCAAGTTTTTACAATATCATATCGGTGTTTCGCTGGTGCAGTGTCTGACCCAGTAAAAAAGATTTCGTGTACTTGCCAAACACCAGAATACGTTGATTTGCCAAGCAATAAATGGCAAACGTCACCCCTTTCAACTTCGTTATAAGATATATCACCTTACATCATTATCACTATTGGCAAAAAAACATCTTCTATCTCCTACATCACCTAGAAATTTATATCATTTTTATAAGACACTTGTTCATTTTTATCAACATATCATGGAATAATCTGTGATAAACATCATCTACAATACAGAGATTATGTACATCTCAACTACAGTTGTCGACTGTTCTATTTCCGCCTTAATTTAACACATTTTTTCTTGTTGATTTCGAGACAGATGTGGGTGTTCCGAGAACACAACTGAGGGTTGACCGGGCCTGCACGCCTCACGCAGCAGGCAATGAGTTGTATTCAGGTCAGCGTGGCTATGAAAAAGCTCGCGCAGGTCAAGGTCACTTCCTCCACTCGCACCCTCTTCCTTCTGGAAGTGGGGGGGAGGGGGGGGCGAGGCACTGTAATGGAAACGGGCTCACTTCGCGATTCAAGGAGCGTTCTGTAGGGGTGCCCCAGAGCGAGAGCACCCTCCAAACGAAACAGGCAGAAAAGGGAGAAACTCTTTGCAGACAAGAAACTGTACTCGTACCGCCGTCGTTTTCCAGTAATTGTCAAATATACAAACAGCCCATCGGCAACAAGAATAACAATTTGTTCACAAGACCTCTGGCTTACAGATTCACGAGTTCTATCGTCTTCTCCAAATACTAAGAACTTATTACTGAAGCAAAACATGCCGGCGTTAGCGCAATTGCGTAACTACGCTCCGTGAAGTCACGCAAGTTAAGTAACTCGAGATACCAAATGTTACTGGGTGTGTGACCGTCTGGCAACTCCGGCGCCGAGACCCTGACCGAAGGGAAAAAAGGCACCGACTGTTTGTGACGTGACGATACTTGTCAGACAAAAACATTTAACGGCGGATTACTCCAGATACGCTCAAGGACGACGAAGAGTTAAGTGACGTATTGAGAAAAAAAAACCTATTCCACGGAACCGAGAAGCCCTCGATCTCTTCGACCACACGAAGTGTTTTGATTTTTTAAATTCAGCGTCTTATAACATAATACCTTTAAGGTTGCAAGGTCGGGACAAATAAGATTAACTTGCTACGTTACAGTGTGTATGTACCAAATCACAATGGACCTACGCGCATCAGCAGTATTAAAGCACGTGAGTATAACGCATGTGGTTCAGATTGTCAGTGATAAAACAGAGCATAGAACGACGGTAGATCCTAACGGCTACCGACGTTAAGCCGAATGATAATACTGATGATGTATTGTGCGACTGGAAGACTGAGACAACAGCCTGAGGCAAGCGCGTAACATGGTTCGAACCGTGCCTCCCCCCCCCTCGCTTGGAAACTAATATTTGCAGAAATCACGTAAAGTATTAATGCAACCCGTGTGTCCGACCGGACAGGCTTTATTCATTGATTAGTGATTCTGTGCTAAGCTCATCAGCTGCTTGGCTCACCGGGAGATGCTGCGTCCTAGACACAGGTTCCAACGATTCGGCACGAACGCAGCGTCTCTCAGACAGACAAGCAGCTACTGACACCGGTCGCGGAAGCCTACGCTCTCATGCTAAGCTCATTCGTTGCGTAAGTGTCAGACGGAAGAGCGGGCCTGATGGCCCGAGTCTCGCCACGTAAAATAAGGCAAATTCAATTCAATTCAATTCAATTCAAAGTGTAGGGCATGTTTCTGATCGCTGAAGGTGGCGGTGATTTTCAGCGGCTGGATGGCGAGATCTGGAGCCAATGTACACTTCGGTTGCAGGGGAATTTTCCCAACAAGTATCCCCACCAGCGGAGTACCCCGCCCCCAGCCGAGACCAGCTATAAGCTCCCGACTGGTCTCTCGGCATGTGCGGTAGTGTAGTGGGTGTGTGCGTAAGGGGAGACCGTAGAACAAAGAACAGAAAGAAAAGATCGCGAGCAGCCCGCTCGTTCGGGTACTGCTCCGGCATTCGCCTGGTGTTAGTGGGCGAAACCACTGAAAACTGCCAATCACAGCAGGCGGCCGCTAGGATTTCTCTCCAGTCAGCGGCTGAATTCGACATGTGTATCGAAAATCCTGCCTGCACCGTCCGGATCGAACCCTGGGCCCTGCCGTTCAGAGGCGCCACTGAAGTGATGTTAGTTAATGCCCCGAGCCACTTTCGCCGTCAAGCATAATGATAATGCACTGTAACTGTGAGATAACAGCCTGTGGCAAGAGGGTCACATAATAAGGATTGCGGCGACACTCCTCGCTTTGAATGTACCTTCGCAGAAATCACGAACAGTAATGAGCTTCAGATGTTACAAATTTCGGCAATCTGCGCCGGATAACGTGTCCCTCATGGTGCCTCATAATAAATTCTTTACACTAGACCCACTTGCGAGCTCGTCGGTCTGTGGTCAACAGACTCACAAGGCCTTCCGCGATAAAACACACACACACACGCGAAAAGCAAGAGACTAACAATCATGTCCACGTCGGGAGTCGACCACGCGACCCTTCGGACCGAGATGCTGGGTTGGCACCGGCTCTAGCCCGCGCGGCCATCCAACCCTCCTCTCCCCGGCTGCATTTTATAATCGCCTCCCCGCTTCGTTTGCCTCCTCCTCCGCCGCCCAAGTGCCCCACATCGCCCGTCCAGATCGAAGCGTTTCCCGTCCGCGGCTCGTGATCGCCCCCCTCCCCCCCCCCCAGCGCACAAAAAGGCTTCATCTCGACCCGGGGTACAGTGCGTGCGTGCGCCTGCTGGCGGAACGGGCGAACCGAACCCCGCACCGCCCGCCCCCGGCCCCGCCCCCGCCCCCCGGAACTCTCCCTCGCCAGCCCCGCCCCGCTACCGCCCCGCCCGCCACACCGTTCGCCCGCCCCTTCCGCCCTGCCATGCCCGCCGCCCCGCCCACGCCTGCCCGCGCTGCGACGATGATTGGGACCAGACCCGCCGCGGCCGCAGGAACAGGCGCCGCCTGGCGCCCGCCCCCGCCCCCGGCCCCGCCCCCGCTCCGCGAACGACGCATCGTCCGCTCCGGCCCGGCCCACGAATTGGCCTTCCCCCTCCCCTTGCTCCGGGGCCTCCTCTGCTGCTTCATCATCGTCTTGGTCGTCGTTTTCCTGCCGTGTTTGCTTCCCCGATATCTCTGTTACGTATCTTTCTCGACGACTTGTTCTCATCTCCATTGTCTTGTTCTCTTCCCTGTCGCCTTGCTCTTTTTGCCGTTCTATTGTTCTTTTCGCCGTCTTCTTCTGTTCACCGTCGTCTGATTCAGTTCTCTGGCGTCTCATTCAGCTCCCCATCCTCTTGTTCAGATCCACGTACTCTTGTTCAGTTTTACGTCCTTAAATGGTGTTTACAACATGCCTCTAAGATTAACCAACATTAGAATTGTCCGTTTCAACCAGTTATATTCATGGAAGTTGATATTTATCGCTACGATGTTCTACGAATGGGTCAAAACAACTCAAGACACATAGATCTAAATCATTATTCCCAAGAGAAACATACCTAACGATTTACAAAAATACTGAACAATACTTGCGGCGTTACTAGAAAATGCAATAAAGATTTTTTTAGTATTATCGACGGATAGTGTACTCTTGAAGATAAAAATGTCTATCGACTCTAAATTCTCTCCCACTTACAACTTCGGAGAGATGAATACAATTCTCAAAGTTTGGGACGATTAACATCGCCTGCCTACTGCGCCCGTGAATACGCTATACTTCATCCGGGCATATCATCTTACTCTCACACGAACAGTTGCATCGTGTACACTACATGTAGAAGCCAACGCTAATTTTATTTGCGACGACAGCTTTACAATAACGAAAACACGATAGGCGTGCGTACAGCAGCATACGGAAACTCAGGCTGTACCGGGACAGGTCGAACACGCGCCGTGCCGAGTAGCGGTGTTTTTGTATCCGCGATAACACAATACAGTAGAACTCCGGTATTCCGAACTAATTGGAGGTGTGGTCTGTTCGGATTATCCGAAAAAGAAGTATAGCACATATACAAATATATCTATAGGATTACCAGACCAGATGCATCGTAGCGAGCGATATGGCATCAATTGATATCTACGTAGTGCCTCAGACCGCTACGGATGCGACATCGATGTCGTCGTTTTCAATACATCGATATTTTTGTAGAAACATCGGCGTTCAGCGTCGATGTATTAACACCGATGTTTGTTTAACATCGATGTTTTGTGATCGATGGTTTTTCCTTTTCCGGTGAGAAAATGGCGTATTAGCGTAGCGACATGCAGTGGCAATGTTGCAAAGAGCGGCGTACAGTACGTACGTAACCTCACAACAACAGACTAAAGCGGAAACTACAGCGGCAGTTCTTCGATTCTCCCCTGATCATTATGTACCCGATGTGGCTTCGCACATTCAATCCACATGAACTCAACGTATTCATTTGTGAATAATGTTCCTTAAACAAAGCTAATATAATTCATTGTACTCTCAAGTATCGTACTCGGCTGCTAAGAGCTTTCGGGTCAAGCAGAAATAAATGAAAAAAAAAGTACGTAACTCCATCGCATGCGGTAGTAGTGCAACTGTTTACAAGAGTTGAAGCACAGCTTGTGTCGCTGCTGTTGTATTAACGGGTATTCTAAGCACAGTATTCAGAATTGGTTCACTTACACTGTGTGTTTATGCTTTTTCGTTCAAAAATTAAATTAATACAAATCAGTTTTTTTTCCTCCGTCGGAATTTTGTTCGGATAATCCGAAATTTCGGATTTGCGGGCTTTGGTTTAGCGGGGTTCTATTGTACACCTTCCTTTTGCGAGGCGCGCCCTTACAGTGCACCTTGACGGTGGGACGTATGGTTATTCTACATATAACACTGGCTAAACAGAGTTATGCATAGTGTACAGTAAAACGTTTTGAGCAACTACCTAACCAATAGTGTGAATTTTAAAAAGCGTTATTGCGAAAAGTTTTGTTCTAAAAAGAAGTAGAAAGTCTCTAGCAAATGAAGTGCGGGAAATTCGAATTTGCAATTCTGAAGTTGGAACTCCACCAGTGACGTCACTATGGTGACGTTCACACTCCTGATTGGATGAAACAGTCAACAGCGGATACCTGCCAGAGGTAGAATAGCATAAATCGCAGTATAGTACTGACTCCTGCTGCGGAAGCCCACACTCTCTCTTGTCCTTTTGCTCACTCCTGTCCTCGCTACAACCTTGCCATGGGGATTGGGAGGAATCCGCGTGCGAGAAGGTCTAACGTCTTCTGTTAAAGTCTGTCTCGTTGAGACTGCTCCAAACATTAGTTATTCGGCGACGAACGAGCTCTGTTTACCCTTTCCCAGTAGGGTGGAACGGTTGCTTACTATTTGTTGAGCGCCAAACATTCGGTGATACGTAACCTAGTTGTCTTTTGAGGCAGCTCCACATATTCGACATTCAGCAATTAGCGATCGCCTATTCATCTAATCCTGAATTGTGGGGAATAGTTACTTGGCGTTTGCGGAGCGCCAAACATTCGGTGCTACCTTCACATAGCGTTTTTTATTTTGAGGCAGCTCCACACATTCGGCAAAGAGCAAGCACTGTTCACCAATCTAATAGTAGAGTGGAATGAATTCTTACGATTCGAAAAGCGCCAAACATTCGGGTTTGCTCTCCCCGCAGCATCTCGGTCTTATGGGCGCATCAAAGGAAATTACGAGGCCTCCACCGCTGTAACGAGTGGCTACAGCACCGGCAGCGTGTAAGCGACTCTGACAGTTCAATGCGCCGTTGCCACACATTGCTACGCACATGATACCACTTCCATCACAGATAAATTAAATCTAAAATCATTAACGCTTGCAGACAGGCTGTGACACATCTTGAAGTCATATTCATAACTTTCGCCAAAGCCGAACCTTAACGCCCCCGCGACTTCCTGTGATTCAGATGAGCGGCAACACTGAACCCTGGCTGTAGTAAGAAAGCAAACCAATCCTCGCAAGCCGATTGCCTCCGAGCAGGTCCCAAGACGTACCTCAGCCCGTGGCGAGAGAACTGTCAGAGTGGGATTATACGCTGCCGGTACTGTAGTGCGCGGTTCCGCGGCGCCGTCTCCGCAGACGGTCTGAGCTTCTTAATGCGTGAGTCAGCGGCGCGGCGTGGGGAGGGGCGGG